CTCAAAAAAAAAAAAAAGTTTGGAAAAAAAAAAACTTTCTTGCCACCATGAACTAATCTAATTCTTATCGTAATGTCCTGTAATAGGCATTACATATTTGCTCCACTATTTTATTCAGATAGGTACACAGATAGACCAATTTGAAAGGTATTTGATAAATAAGTGATGCTTTAACAAAATTGTATTATAAAATCAATACTGATATTTGTAACATGTAAAGATACATTTCTATTTAAAAAGAGATTGGATCTGTTTATTATAAATTAATCCCACAAGAGAAAGCATGATTCAATGTGAAACATACTGAAAACATCGTGGGGAACAGTAGAGCACAGGTGAGCATTTGATTTAACCACAAGCCACGCATCAAATACAGACGGAAGGCTGCTTCCATGGCCCGCTGGGTAGGAGTACTCTGGCTCCCAAGATCCCTAGCAGGACTTAGAAACTTGCTGTGTTGTTTCTAAGCAGCAAGAGACAAATTGGTAAGCTGCTCTTTGCAAAACCTTTTTTTAAAAAATATCAGCTTTTGAACGTGTGGAGTCTCTGTTCCCAATAAAGGAATGGCCAGTTGTGCTGTGAACATCTGTAAGCCTTGATCCTTGCAGTCTGCAGCCATTTCAGAGCTCCCTGTCCACACCAGCATCTACCCCTCCATCTTGAACCAGTGGACTCCCTCAGGGCTGCCTGTGTGCTGCTCTCTAGGTTCCTTAAGTGGGACGCCTGGGGGAAGGCACTGAGGACACACTGAGGGCTCCCTGACCTCTGTACAGCCCCTGGATACACTCCAGAGGCTCACAGGCTGTTTGTATTTAGGGGGAAAAACTATTGGGGGGAACAGGAAATGGGGAGGGCTAAATAGTTATTCCTGGAAAGGACTAGAATAACACCTGAGCATAGGAAGCACCTGCAAATACATGACCATGAAGGTGGGGTGCAGACCTAGGCAGCACCCGCACGCACCCAGCCCTTGCCAGTGCAACTTGCCGGCTAGGCTGAGAGCACACATGTGCACAGGGGTATGCTCCGCACGGCTCTATATCCAGCCAAAGGAAAGCGGAGTGTGGAGGCGGGCCACGCTGTGCTTGGCTTGTTTGGGACTTTACCAAGAGTTAGCTGTCATTTTGGACTGCAGAGCCTCCTGGGATATCTGAGGGTATGTTCAGCCCACCTGTATCCCCTGCCTGTGTACAGGTGCCAGGGTCTGATTGCTTCATTGAGTCTTATGGTATGGCTGTGTGAAAGCATTTATAGAAATGCAGATTATTTTATTCTGTAATAAATAACTGGTTTCCTTTGATTTCTCCTGATGTGCGGGTATTAAATTGACTTTATTCCAACACAGGTAACATTATCCGTGATTTTCATATCAGGATAATGCAGAGCACACTGCTCAATGCTTGCTATAAAAGGGAGGGGAGTTGGGATTGTTGGACTGGATGATTTCCAAACTTTTTTCCTAGGTTCTGTGTTTCCAGGAACCAGGCAGCCCCTCTGCTTCTCCCGTTAATTGATTTGATTTTTCATAGTGCACACATTTGCTCAGTGGCCAGTATGAACTGTCCTGAGCTGGGCGCTGAGAGAGAGAGTGCCCAGATCTGGGTTTCCACAGTGCTCCCCAGGGGACCATTTAAGATGTGGCGCGGCCGGGCGCGGTGGCTCAAGCCTGTAATCCCAGCACTTTGGGAGGTCGAGGCGGGTGGATCACGAGGTCAAGAGATCGAGACCATCCTGGTCAACATGGTGAAACTCTGTCTCTACTAAAAATACAAAAAATTAGCTGGGCATAGTGGTGCATGCCTGTAATCCCAGCTACTCAGGAGGCTGAGGCAGAAGAATTGCCTGAACCCAGGAGGCGGAGGTTGTGGTGAGCCGAGATCGCGCCATTGCACTCCAGCCTGGGTAACAAGAGTGAAACTCTGTCTCAAAAAAAAAAAAAATAAAATAAATAATAATAATAATTTAAAAAGATGTGGCTGCAAGAAGGCTGCTTCCTGCAAAAAGCTGAAAGCCCGGGGTCAGGGTGTCAGGGAGCAAAGGACTAATGCCCTCAAGGCAGGTGGCCATCAAGTGTGGAGGCTACCAAGAAAGCATGCAGACATTTCATCTAAAGAGCCCTAAGGTGGGTTTGCAAAGCCTGGGCCACTCAGGTTGCCCGCAGCGGACCAGTCCCACCAGCTCCTGACCTTCCACCTCCAGCCCTTCCCTCTCTCCATGTTCATACCTGGCCTGGGAAACAGGAGAGGATTCCTGAACTTGAAGATGTCAGTGGTGGCACTAGCAGTGGCACCTGTAAGAGGAGGCTTCCCTCAGAGGGAGAGGGACTCGATGAGAAGTTTAAAGAATGCCTCCTGGAGTTTTCAGGCTCTAGGAGCTGGACGCATGTGGATGAGACATGATGGGCCATGTAAGCAGGTAGGGTGGGGCGGGGGTGGCAGGAAGAAGGGAGCCTTGTCTCAGCCTGAAATACATTTTTCATCTCATTTCCTGGCTCCCAGAGCATCATTCCTCAGGCACAAGGACACAGTGTCTGCTCTTCCTGGAGCCTGTGATCACTATATCTATTAGCCTCTGCCACAGGGTACTCTCTCTACAGGATAGGCAGGGCACCATGGCAGAGGTTGACACCCGGGCTTCACAGTGGGGGCCGGTGGTGTCCTAGGGCTTGACGTTCTGGAGTCTCCCACCTCCTGCCTCCCACCAGGGTCTGCGACTCTGAGGTCTGGGCAGCTCACTTCAGCAGGCCTGAGCCTGTGGCTGTGGTGTGGCAATCTCCTGTTTTGTGCTCAGGGGATGCGGGGTCCCATCCTGGAAGCTGCAGCCTCACTGATTTCCATGTCCCTCTCGGTGAGATATGCTGTGACTTGAGAGCACAGCTGGGACTCTGTCGCACCCCCCAGTGTCCCTTGAGGCACGGAGGAAGGGCTGCAGAGGTGAAGGTCTAAGGGGCACACAGTCCATGACAAAGAGCGTGGCCATGGCACCTGCCCTGCAGTGGGTAGTGGGGACCTTGTGGGTGAATGTGCAGCCTGGCCACATGATGGTCTTGGAGGCGGGGACCTGCAGCACCCCAGGAGGACCCCAGCGGGCTGCTCTGGCTGTGAGGGAGCCACAGGCCCACACCACAGTGGCTCCGAGGGGTGGACTGGGACCAGATCCCAGTTTTTAGAAACCAGGTCATCAGAAGTGAAACCACCCACACCTCTGCAGGGCTCTCCTGAAAGGCGACGAGCCACAGAGCCCTCCATGGCCTCCTCTGAAGGGAGGACGCCTTCCTATGTGCCTTGAAAACATTGAGCAGTATCTGCAAGGCCTAAAAGAGTACTCAGTGCCTTTTGCGAGGAGGGGGTCGGGTGTCTGAACCCCATGCTCGGCACTGGGGGATGCTGGCCCTGGGACCATCATCTTTCTCTGACCACAGAAACTCCCTGGGGACTGGACAGAGGGAGCAGCCCCTGGCCTGGATCCTAGGTCTTGAAAAGGCCCTTCTGATCTCCCAAGAAGCGAGGTCAGCCCTGAGAAGAGTTAAACCCCCAGGAAGGAGGTGGAGGCATTCTGGACTGAAAGCAGAAAGACAATAGAAAGGCCAGAGCACCTCCCAGGCCTTAGTGATGAAATCTTCCCTTCTGTGGCCCGTGCCACTCTGCAAATAATAAAGAACTGGCATGTGCCATTCCCTTCACTGTGGGCTGCAGCCTCCGGCCCCTCTCTTCCTGTTCCTGGGACTCTGGTTCTGCGGCCGCTGCTCGTATGGGCTCCCAGGAGCTCTGCATCTGCTCTTGGAAAGGGGTCATGAAATGTCCTGTGTGTCCCTCACCCTCAGCCTCTGTGCCACAGTCTCAGCGTCATTCCTGAACTGACCGCCAGGCCAGGAAGTAGACACACTGGTGCCTCGTCTGCCCAGGGACTGGGGGAGGCTGGGTTCTGTTCATTTGTCCGAGTCCCTTCCTTGCCAGCTTGGAAGGGGTAGCATCGGGGAGTCCTAGTGGGGGCAATCTTATTGCTGTATTTACTTCCTGAGCTGTACACTCAGTGGAAAAGGGCAGAACCTTTTCCACTTCCTTCTCCCTGTTGGGCCTGGATGGGTCACTGCCCATTCCTTGAGACCATACCTAATGGCAGGGGCTCTGAAACAGTTGGGTCTTGTCTGTCCATCTGTCTCCTGGGGGAGTGAGTCTCTGCCTATACCACAAACAAGAGTGACAACAGGAAGGGGTTTCCTCCCCACTCTGCTGGTCATACATCCATCAGTAGCTAACATGAGCAAACAGCAATTGTTCCAAACAAAATCTCCCTGTTTCCCCAGCAAGGACATTAACTGGTGTCCTGGAATTGTGCAGTGCACAGCTCGTGGGGCCGGCCCAATGTTGGTAACACTGAAATGGCTGCTTAGAGGAAACTCAGCTGCAGTGCTTTGAAAGGAAACCTCATTCTTTTGAGTTAAAAGCTTACCCTGGAGCAGGGGTGAGCAAACTCTTCTTATAAAGTGCTCGTTAGTGTTTTAGATGCTACAGGCCTCAGTGTCTGTGGCTACTCCTCTCTCTGCCACTGTAGTGCAAAAACAGCCATAGACAATGCATCTGTGAATGAATGTGGCTCTATTCCAATAAAACTTTATTTATAAAAATGGGTGGTGGGCCACAGTTCATTAATATTTGCTCTTGAAGTTTTTTTTTTCCCTTTAATTTACATCTAAGATGAATTATATTTCTATAAAATATGTATTCATGTGAAAGAGAAAACAGTAAAAGCTATTTAAGGGTGGGATTTCTTTGTTTAGTATTTTAAAGATAATGTTGTCTGTAACACTGGTATTTTCAATGAAAACATTTACACATACATAAGGTAGTTTTATGCAAAAACCATCAATGCTGAGTGTGCACAGGTGTGCTTCTAAGGGGAGGTCCCCACAGTCCACCTTCCTATGCAATGGGGTCCCTTCTGATGGCTCTGCCCCCACCCCAGGCCCCTGCGTGCACTCTCTCGGGAGCCAGGCATACCTTGTTCTCTTTGCTGGTCTCTCTGTTCCATGGACACAAGGGCAGAGAAATGCGCTTGATCATAGGCCAGAACCAGAGGCGAGCAGTGACATCTGTTGGGAGGGACCTCCAAGGGCAGGTAGATCCCTCCGAATGGGATGGGTGCGAATGCTGTGGACACAAACCGGCGTGAAGGTGTGAGGAGCAGGCAGCCCCAGCTGGGAGGGGAGGCTCCTGTGTCCCTGTCCCTCACTATCTCAGGAGGCTCCATGGAGGAGCAGAGGAACGGGCAGGGAGAGGGGGCAGGGAGATGGAGGCGGTGCTGAGGGATGGGGCTGAGCGCTTCCAGAGTCATCTGTCTGCCCTGAGACCTGCACAGGTGTTCAGGAGCCCGGGGCTGGAATGAAACTGTCACCCAAGATGGTCAGAGTAGCCGCAGCGTGGAAGCCCAGTTTTCTGGATGTACCTGTTCCTCTCCTAGTGTTTGGTGTAAAGCCTTCGTGTACAACACAGTAACTACACTTCTCAAGGGCATATCCGTTTTATATTTTGAGAACCTCTTCTGTTGAATCTGAAAGAATCAGCCAGAGAGGTCCAGGACCGAGCAGTGAGTCAGATGGGAAATGAGAATCAGAGGGGTCAAGTCCTTCAGTGACAGGGACACAACGTCACTCATTTCCTGACTCACAAAAAACAGGGCAGAGGTGGCTCATGTCTGTAATCCTAGCACTTTGGGAGGCCGAGGCGGGCAGATCACGAGGTCAGGAATACGAGACCAGCCTGGACAACATAGTGAAACCCCATCTCTACTAAACACGAGCACCTCCCTCCCCCTGACCCCACAACACACACATAAATTAGCTGGGTGTGGTGGCATGCGCCTGTAGTCCCAGCTACTCAGGAGACTGAGGTGGGAGGGTCACTTGAACCCAGGAGTTGGAGGTTGCAGTGAGCCGAGACCACGGCATTGCACTCCAGCCTGGCAGAGTGAGACTCCCTTTAAAAAAAAGAGGGGCAGAAAAGCCTAAAACCCTCACCGAAATAGAATAACTTCTGGAAGTATCTGTCCTGAAGGAGCGTCTGCTTTTACGTCATAAAACGTAAAGGAGCATCTGCTTTTACGTCACAAAACGTAAAGGAGCATCTGCTTTTACGTCATAAGACGCCTTGCTTTTTGGCCCCTGAGTCTGTGAATTGCCGCACCCCTCGAGCAGAATTCAGGGATGGTAATTTCAGGCACATCTTTGATGAACTCTTAGTTCCTCTCCACCCTCACTTTTTCTAAAGCAGATCACTGTGGTTCTGCCCACAGGAGAGTCTCACTGAGGGGCGGCAGGCTGGGGCACCCTGCAAGAGAGCTGTGAGTAGAATGGCAGGAAGTGTGGACCTTTCCCTACCCCACAACTCAGAGATCTGATGGTGCAGAGATCAGAGCAGTCCTGGGCTTACACAGCAGGGCCCCAAGGCACGTCCCAGCGCTGCACCGAGAGCTGAGACCTCAGCAGGCCTGTGTCCCTGAGCCGCACAGGGAAGGAGGCGGGCCAGGCAGGACCTGTGTCCTTCCAGTTCCCTGGCTACGCCATCATCGTGGCCACATCGTATTTTTTTTGTGGTAGCTGTGATTTAGCATGAAGAGCCACATCCTCATTTGTAGGACTCCCTGGAAGACCCATGACTTTTGTGAAGGTGCAGGGGTAAATTCCAACTGGGCTGGAGGGATGCTCTGGGCATGCTGGAGGGAGGACAGGCTTTGGAGGACCATCCCTGCCCTGGGCTGATCCCTGGCTGGGGATACTACCCAGCCTCTCTGGGCTTCAGTTTCATCTCTGTAAAGTGGGGAGGGTGGTGTCCATCCTTGGAGGTTGTGACTAGGGCTGAATGGAGGAACATTCGAGGAGAGGCTGTACACAGGGTGTGGCTTTCAGTGGGCTGGCCATAAACTGCCCTTGCTTCTTTCTCTGCCAGTTCTGATTCTACCAGTCTTGCCTAGTGACTCTATGCATGCTGTCTTCCTTTCTTTTTGGGTGAAAAAGCCACTGTCTTTAACCCACACATAACCTGCGGAGGGTTGGGAAGGCACCTGGGTGACCGAGTGCCTCCAGGGCATGGCCCAGGGCTGCTGGAGGGGTGTGGGCTGTCTCCTGTACCCTAGGCACATGATAGGAGACAGGAACCCCTCTGGGCTTCATCCTGGTCCTCACACGACCAGATTTCTCCTGGCCACCTGCTGTTGACAGGCAGGGCAGCTGGTCAAGAGCAGTCCCTGCTGCCATCGAGGCGGCGAAAGAAACACGTCGAGTAGATCTTTGCACAGAGTGATGCTCTGTGGCCTCCGGGAGCTCGACCTTGCATGTGCTGCCTGCCCTTTAGCAGGGATGCTAGGCTTCCGGGGTCATGAACACAGAACATCTCTTTGAGGAACTTACCTTCTCCACCTGAGTCTCTTAACATTGTATCTGCCACAACAACAATGGGTCTTCTTAATATATGGGCTAGGACAAACACGTGGAACTCTTCCAGGCTCTCATACACGGGGTCCTCAGAGTTGTCCACACTGCGAAACAAAACAGAGCCAGCGGGTCACTGACTAAATCAGGGTGGAGGATGGAGAAAGTGGGGGCTGCTTTATGCAGGGGCTGAGCCCTCCCCACTCTGGATCTCATCTTCATGGACCCCGGCAGCTGCGCCATCCTGGGCCACTTCTCATGCCATCCGCTGTGGCAAACATACAGGCCCCAGCTCCCTAACTCCACTGTGGGAGCAGTGTCAGAAGACAAGTTGGAGAGAGCCTGCAGGTGAGGGGTGCTGGCCACTGTGAAGGTCAGTCTCTATGCAGGTGGAAGCGGCCCACCAGAGCCTGTGGCAGCAGGGCTGCTGGTTCTCTGGGGTGTTTCACAAGGAAGCAGTGGGAACTGGAGGGATGGAGGGTTCCTCTCTGTTCATTTCCCTGGGCACATCTAATGGGCTAGAGGGTCATTACCACCAAGATCTGAGGAGCCTTCTAGAAGATGCTTGCCCCAGTGGAAGACAACAGTGAGAAGGCTGTCTGGATTCCGATCCAGAGCTGGAGGGATGCAATGTGAATGTGCAGTCCAGGTGGCCCAGACCTTCCCCATCATGCCCCAGGCTCATGTCTGATGCTCAGGGAAAGAGCAGGCTCAAAGATGCTTTTACTTTGAAGATGTTTGGGCAGACGGCGGCAGCCTTGATGTCCCCCCACAGCAGGGCCACCCAAAAGGGAGGCGCACATTGAGAGGAAAGCCAGAGCTCACAGCATTACTGGGCCTTGGCTGCACCTGCAATGCCTGCCAGCTGAGGTGACAGCACCCAGCCCCAAGACTCCCAGAGGTGGCTCTCAGGCTTGTTCCTGAGTGTCTGAGGAAAGCCCAGAATTAGCCAAGGGAGTCTGTGAGGACAGCAGCAGGTGGGGCCAGGGCTGGCAAATGTGGCCCTTAGCATGGCCTGGAGAAAGAGCTTCTTAGGTTCATGGGCACAGTTCCCAGCCACCTGCTTCACTGACTTCTGGAATGCAGGCTGTGAATCCTAGGGAATGCATTACCATCACCTGGGAAATTTTGGTTACATACTACCCATATTTTTTTCTTGTTTATTGTCTTTCTTATGATTAAATTTCCTTTTTTAAATTTTTGAGACAAAGTCTCACTTTGTTACTCAGGCTAGAGTGCAGTGGTGTGATCTCAGCTCACTGCAACCTCTGCCTCCCAGGTTCAAGCAATTCTCCTGGCTCAGCCTCCCAAGAACCTGGGATTACAGGCATTTGCCACCACATCCAGCTAATTTTTTTTTTTTGTATTTTTAGTAGACATGGGGTTTCACCATGTTGGCCAGGCTGGTCGCGAATTCCTGGCCTCAAGTTACCTGCCAGACTTAGCCTCCCAAAGAGCTGGGACTACAGGTGTGAGCCACCACATGCAACCCAATTTACTGTGTTTTAACAGTTCAAAAAATTGGCAGCAATCAAAACCTCAAAAAACAGTTGTGCGCATATAGTAAAAAGCTTTTGTTTCCCTGAACCATTTGAAAATCAATAGCCACCCTAGTGCCCATCGCCCTGGAAGCTTCTTGCTCATTCTCTATGAACAGAACGTCCTTCTACACAACTACCACACCGCCATTAACATCAGGAATTCACACGGTTACATGCAACCACCAGACCCCACACGTGTGTGCCAGTTTTCCCAATAATGCCTTTAGAACAAACGTTCCTGCTCGGGGTCACGTGCTGACTTCTGGAATGCAGGCTGTGAATCCTGGTGGTGGCATCTCCTTCATCTTCTTCACCTGAAATATTTCTTAGGAAATCCTTGACTTCCATGACCTTGATACTTTTGGAGATTGCAGACTAGGTATTTTGTAGAATGTCCTTCATGAGGGTTTCTCTATTTCTTCATGGTTAGACTGGATTGGGTCAAGCTGAGTCCTTCTTGTGACATCTTGTTGGGTTGTGCGAATTGCAGATTGTCTCGTCACTGGTGAGGCTGACCTGGACTGCTCCTTAAGGGTATCTCCCAGGCCTTGCCCCTGCAGAGCTACTAATTTCCTCTTTGAAATTAACAAGCATTTTGTGGGGAGGAACTTGAACCTATGCAAATACTCCATTCATCACCAAATCTTTGTATGTTTATTGGTATCACTATGAATTTTGGCTATTTTATTCAATGGGTTATAATCCATTAGTGTGATGATCTGGATGCTCAGATGCTCCTTGATGTGGTCAGTGTGGCTTTTCTAAAGCTGGATCTGTGTCCTTATGACATCTTCATCATTTCTTTTCATTTTTGTTTTTTGAGACAGGGTCTCACTCTGTTGCCCTGGCTGGAGTGCAGTGGTGAGATTATAGCTCACGACAGCCTCAAACTCCTGGGCTCAAGTGAGCCTCCCATTTTGGCCTTCCAAGTAGCTGGGACCACAGGGCACCACTATGACCAGAAAACTTTTCATTTCTGTAGAGACAAGGGTCTCACTATGTTGCCAAGGCTGGTCTCGAACTCCTGGGCACAAGTGATCGTCCTGTTTCAGCCCCCCACAGTGCTGGGATTACAGGTGTCAGCCACTGTGCCGAGCTCTCATCATTTCTTAGAGCACTTTCTCGCTTCTCGGTGCAGAAAGATGGTTCAAGTTCGTACTCACACATGGATACATACTTGCATGTTTATTTTCATCTTTCTGTCCCTCTCCATGTTTATTTATTTTCATGTTTCTCTTCCTCTCAATATTTATAGAAAACCTTGAGTTCATCGATACTTCCAATTCCAATCCAACCCCACAAAGTTAATTCTACTTGTAACTTTCTTCACTGACCGTGAGAAAACTTGTTTGTATTCATTCTGAAGAATTTCCTTATTTAATCAATCTTCCCGTATGTCAGCTATCTCCTCCTCTGCTGCCCCTCCCCGAGGTGGCCCTCTTCACCTGTTTGGCTGACATCTGGCTCTGGCCCCTGGTGTCCTCCCATCCCCCACCCATTCCAGATGCCACCTTGCTTTGACCCACCTAATGGCTTTAGAACTTACTTTTTCATGGAGGAAGGAAAGAGAAGTAGAAAAGGAATGTTTTAAATATGTATTGACATGAATACATATTCACACATACACACATGTTTTATGCCAGGTCTAAACAGGGCACTCCTGGGTGTGCATTTTGAAACTTCCCAGGTGATTAGCCTGCCTAGCCACACCTGAAAGCCAAGCTGCAGTGCCTGGGGGTCAAATGCTTCTGGAAGTTGCTTGTTTGTCCCTGTTGTCTACTATGCACTGAGTGCCAGCAAGTGAGTGGTTGAACAAGATAATGAACAGCACAGGAGGAGAGAACATGGAGTTACAACCTGCACACTTGGAGAGAAATACCACACTTAGAAATGTGGAGCACAGATGATCAAATAAGAAATTACCAGTTATTTTCTGCGTTTATTGAGATGATCATACCGTTTTTCTTCTTAATTCTGCGTATGTGATATATCACATTTATTGATTTGTGTACGGCAAATCATCCTTGCATCCCTGGAATAAATCCCACCTGATCAGGGTATATTACCTTTTTGATGTCCTGTTATATTTGATTTTCTGGTATTTTGTCAAGGATTTTTGCATTCAATACAATTCGGCATCACTTCATGATGAAAATCCTCAACAAGCTAGGCACAGAAGGAACATAAGTCCACATAATAAAAGTCGTACATGACAAAGCCACAGCCATCGGCATACGTAATGGGGACAAGTCGAAAGCCTTTCCATTAAGGACTGTAACAAGATGAGGGTGCCCATTCTCACCACTGTTATTCAACAGAGTGCTGGCAGTGCCTGCAGAGCAGTCAGGCAAGAGACAAATACAAAAGGCATCCAAATTGGAAAAGAAGAAGCCAGATCATCGCTTTGCTGATGATATGATTTTATAATTAGAAAACCATAAAGACTCTACCAAAAACCTCTTATATTTGATACATGAATTTAGTCAAGTTTCATACTGAAAGCAGTAGCATTTTTATGTACCGTAACCAGCTAGCTGAGGACTAAGTCAAGGAGGCACTCCCATTTATATTAGCTACAAAATATCGAGGAATATATTTAATCAGGGAGGTGAAAGATCTCTACAAGGAGGACTACAAAAACATGGAAGAAAAAAACTGTAGATGACACAAATGAGTGGAAAAACATCCCATGCTCATGGATCGGAAGAATCGACATCATTAAAATGACTGTGTTGCTACAACAATCTGCAGATTAAATACAATCCCTATCAAGTTACCAGTGTCAGTTTTCACAGGATGAGAAAAAAACCAATAAATTTCCTGTGGAACTGAAAAAGAGCCTGAATAGCCAAAGGAATCCCAAGCAAAAATAACAAAGCTGGAGGCATAATATGATCTAATTTCAAACGGTACTACAAGGTTATAGTAAACAAAACAGTATGATAGTGGTACAAAAACAGACACACAGACAAATGGGACAGAACACAGCACCTGTAAGTGAAGCTACATACTTACAGCAAGCTGATCTTCAACAACACCAACCAAAATATATACTGGGAAAATGACACTATTCAATAAATAGTGCTGGGAAAATTGCATAGCCATATGCAGCTCAACAAGAAAAACAAACAACCCCATTCAGAAGTGGGCAAAGCACACGAACAGATATTTTTCAAAGGCGCACATACAAAGAGCCAAACATATGAAAACATACTCTACATCACTAATTAGCAGACAAATGCAAATTGAAACCACTGTGAGGTACCATCTTACAATGGTCAGAATGGCTACGACCAAAAGGACTAAAAACAACATGCTGATAAGGATTTGGTGAGAAGGGAACACATACTGTTGGTAGGAATGCGAATTCGTACAACCTTTATGGAAAGCGCTGTGGAGATTTCTCAGAGAACTAAAAACAGAACTACCACTCAATCCAGCAATCCCACTACTAGGTATATACCCAAAGGGAAATGAATCATTATATCAAAAAGATACCTGCATGTTTACTCTAATACTGTTCACAATGGCAAAGATATAGAATCCACCTAAGTGTCCACCAATGT